AAAGAGTGTTAGTTACTGGAAAAAGCTGCAAACAGATAAAGCAGAAATAAGAGCTCTCGGAATCTGACAGTTCCATTTGTTGGTCCGTTGGACCATTTAAACAGATTGTGGCTGACATTCCAGGCACGACAGCCACATTTGGTAGGTTGTCCGTGTAATTAAGTACTTGTCTATTTACGACAGATATAAGACCCCCCCAAAAAAAAAACAGTGATCTCTTTTCTTTTTTGGTATTTGGGGCATTTATCAAACAGGAAGGAAGTGTGAGCTATGAGACCCCAAGGCCAACATAGGAATCCACAGGTTCGTCTTCGTTCTTTTCAAGCAGAACCGTCACCAGCTAATAAGCCGCCTTCTTCAAGAGATCGTTCAGCACCCGAGATTTTGCTGCTGAGAACGATCTAGGCCTGCCTGTTGCCGCTGTTTATTTCAATGCACGAAGAGAACTGCTGCAAGAAGACGCTAATTAAATCTTCAGGAATCAGCAGAAAATGCTCCATTCAATTGAAGAAGAAGAAGAAAAAAAACTGAGTTTTTTAATGCAAATTGTGTGGTTTGTTCTAAAAATAGGCTTGCAGTACCACTACTCTGAATAATGCAAACTTGTAATTACATATTGCATGGCATCTTCCAAGGCTAACTAATCTTTCTTTGTATGTTCAACAATTTTGATATTTCAAATCATACCTGATTAGTATCCTAGCTATCACTTTTATTTGTTGTCACTCAACTATTTTTAAAAAAAGTTATACCCAACGTTACATTTTGGTGATTCACCGTTAAAAAATTAATAGAAAATTGACGTGATATTTTTTTTTTTTTCAATGATTACATGGCATTACCTGACACATCAGCATTACTGTTAATTTTTTAACAGCGTGTGATCAAAATGAATCCAAAACTAAACGTTAGTATGATTTTGAAGAAGAAAAAAGAGTTTGGGTGACCAAACCGGAACAAAAGTGATAGTTGTGTAGTAAACGTTTATCTAAAAAAATGGGTAAACTACATATTTAGTCACCCAACTATTCCCATGATTCCATTTTGATCACCCACTATATTTTTCAAAATCATATCTAAAGTTACATTTTGGTCACCTGTAGGGACGGCAGAATTCTATGTTAGGTGGACGAACTTATAAAATTTTAAGGAGAGTTAACTTGTAATTTTTAAGGGGACGAAACATATTATCAATAGAAAATACACAGAGAAAAATCTAAAATACAAGAGAATTTGAAAATTTTAGGGGGAGATTGTCCCTGCCCCAACCCCTTGGTCCATCCCTGACGGTAATATTGATATATCACCATAAGTTAATGCCAGGTTATCATTAAAAAATTTAAAAAAGTATCATGTCAATAATTTCTATTTATTTTTTAATAATAGATGATTAAAAACAATCAAAAACGTAACTTTATATATTTAAAAAATAGCCGAGTGGCTAAAATAAAACCACGAATAATTGGATGACTAAAATACGTAATTTACCCCAAAATCTAGTGAGGTCCTCACCATGTGGAACTCCTTATATTGTTGACCCTTTGTATTTCACTTGAAGTTGGTTCAAGATTGAAACTTTTAAAGTAATTTAATTCTCTATCTTCTCTTTGAGTATTATTTATTTGAAGATTAAATGTCATTCACGAAATTATCTTTAAGAATGTTGCATCGTTTGACACTTAAGGTTATAATATGCTCCTTTTGTTCTTTTAATTTTTTTTATTAATCTAGGGTAAGTAGAATGTAATATATATTCAAAGATAATTTTCAACTTCTCAACATTGAACACTCACACTCCTGACATCTATGATGCTCGAACCCCTCAAGGAATAATAATCATTTTTTACCACGAAAGTCACTTAATTCGTGCACTTTTATATTTGAATATCTATTAGAACATTCCTTTTGTGCTTTAGAATATCTATTAACATGCACACTTTTATATTAGACTCTTAACTTTTTAGCACTATTATTCTTTGTGTTTGGGCATCCCATTGTTTTAAGATTACTTCCTTCATGTTACATCTCAAAAGAAATCTTAGGTTGGCATATCATTACGATAACGTCTCGATTTTTTTTAATATTATCTTCTGAAAAATCTGATAAAACTGAGAGATGAATGAACGATAATTATCTGAAAAGTGATAGTGATCGTGAAATTTAACATCAATTTTGAATTACGAGAACCAATAATAGTGACTATTTTGCAATTATGAGTTTTAAATATGTGCCTTATTGATTGTTTTTTTTTAATTTTTAAATTTGACTTGCTATTATATAAATTTTATTATTGATAAAAATATGAAAAAAAATATTTTAATTTTTTTAATTTATTTAATTGTCTAAATATTTAACATAATCATGGTCAAAGATTAAAATTTTTAACTTTTAATAAGTTAATGAGGGACATATTTAATGGGACAAAAGGAGTAATTTTTTGGATAAAGTATACAAATGGTTCATTGATTATGGACATTGTTTGTTGAGTCAGACTATTAAAAGTTACAAATGATCACTGATTCATATGTTCCAAACTTGTCATTTTCCGTTAAAAAATTGATGGTCGTCTGAACTGGACGTTAACATACTGATTGTGCATGATAAAATCGTATTTTATGATGCCTACTGACACCGTCATTGCTTTCAAACATCGACTCGATGATAATATTTCAAGTATTGGCTCGACAGAACGAAGAGTCTATAAAATACAGCTCAAACAATTCTAGGATCATATTTTATTATACCACAGTTTAACGTGCACTTAGATAACTGCTAATTTTTTAACGAAAAAAGATGAATTTGGAACATATAAATAGTCGAATGATCTTTATAACTTTTAATATTGACGTACTAAATAAAATAATATCTTATACTTAAAAATTATTTATAACTTTTAATAATAAATAAATTAAAATAATATTCTAATAATTAATGTACTTTATTTTTTTTCTAATTATGACGGTAGGCGTAGTAGTTAAACATTGGACACCAATTAATGGGTCCTAGGTTTCTTCTTGCATCTCATTGGTTTCTTAATTTCTTTGGTGTTCTCTTCGGACTTTCCTAATAATACATTCAATAGGTTTTGTTTGAAAAGTCCCCCAAAATGGCAGCGGCAGGAGGAGTTAATAGGAAAATATCAGCCGCTTCAGCTCGAGCTCGCACTAGAAGAGCCAAGCAAAACGCTTCTTTCAAGCTTCCTTCAGGTCCCTTCTCTTTTTTTTTTTGATCTAATTTGGGTTCTCTCATAATTGTAGGATCCAGCACTTTCTTTCATCTGGGTCACTTTACTTTGTAAGAAAGTTGAAATTTTGGATCTGGGATTTTCATTTCTTGCAGATTCTTAACATATTGACTCATATAAGATTTGTGAATTTTATGACTTCGTCTCTCTTTGTTCCTATTTTCAATTTTCACTGTTAAAGCCTTGATCTTGGACGTTGACTGGATGTAAAAACTGAGTTCATTTATTTTTGGATGGAGAGGAGCGAGTTTGAGTTAGAATTAGAATGATAATGAAACTCATGAGATGGGATTCCATTTAAGGTGGCTGTTAATGGAACGGATTCTTTCATGCATTGTCTTGTTTCACAGATTATTTCAAATTCATTTCTCCACTGTTATAACCCAAAACTGCAGGGATTTTCACAAAGATACTACTGGTCTTGTCTGCTGGAATTCTGGCATGGATTTATCAGGCTATTCACCGCCTCCCCCTAAGACATGCGGCTCTCCTGATGGTCCACCTGTTTCCGCGTCGAGAATAAAGCTGAAGGACGGAAGGCATTTGGCCTACAAAGAGCACGGCGTTCCACGAGATGCCGCAAAGTATATATTGTCTATGTCCATGGCTTTGATTCTTGTAGGCATGATGCTGTTGTTGCCAATACCTTGTCACCGGTACTTGGTTGTTCATTTTTCTATGTTGTGCTGCATACTCATGAGCTTTCAACTATAACATGTTTGAAGTAAGTGTCCTTGACTTGGTTCTTTGTTTCTACCAAGAAATTGTTGAATCTCTTGGGGTCTACATTGTTTCTTTCGACATGCCCGGTTATGGAGAGAGTGACCCAATCCAAACGAACCGTTCAGAGCTTGCTGATCAATTAGGATTAGATCCAAGTTTTATGTAATCGGATTTTCTATGGGGGGCTGTTGAAAAGTCAAGTGGCAAGTGGCCAACTTGGCCAAACTTTCGGTGAAATAAATTGGTAGCAAGTTGGTTGAAAGTTGGCAGCTGAAATGGTGAAAAATTGGTAAGGAAAAATTACCAAATTTAGTCCATATACTTTAGGGTATTTACAACATTAGCCCTTAAGCTTCAACTATAAATACTCTAACCCATTTAGCTTCAAAAACATCTTAAATCATTCTAGCTCTCTCTCAATACTAGAGAAATTAAAGAGTTTTTTTAGAGCGATTTTCAGGGTGTAATTGAGTTGTGAGTTGTGAGTTTTTTTTATAAACACCTGTAAATTTTCTCTTTAGTAAAATATCTGCAGCAGTCTAGAGACGTAGGCATAATTGGTCGAACTCCGTTATTAATTTCGGGTGTTATTATTCCGCTTTTATTTTACATTCTCATTAATCTGGTTATAGGAAATTACTCGTTTAATTTCGCAACAACTGGTATCAAGAGCTTTTGGTAGTGAATTTTGTCAGTTTTTTTTGTGATGTTACTATTTATGTGAATAATATTTCGTTAATAGTAAAATTTGGTCGGCGATACGAGTTTGTCGATGGAGGTATTCTAATACACGGTGGTTCGCAGGAATTGTTAGAAACGATCCAAAAGAAGCCAGATTCGAGTGGGAGCGATGGCTGCAGACGAAATGAATGAAAATTGAGAAGTTCGATGGTGCAGACTTTGGTCTGTTGGAAGATGCAGATTGAAGATTTTCTGTACCAGAAAAAACTATATCAACATTTCTCAGGAAAGCAACCAGAGGGCATGAATGATGAAGATTGGGATCTTCTCGACAGACATGCCCTCGGAGTTATTCGACTGATGTTATCCCGCAATGTTGCTTTCAACATAGCAAAGGAAAAGACCACGGCGGGTTTTTTTGGTGGCTCTCTCCAGTATGTATGAGAAGCTATCGACCTCAAACAAAGTTCACTTGATGAGGCGATTATTCAATTTGCGGATGGCGAAAGGGGCATCGGTGGCTCAACACCTAAATGAACTCAACACAATCACAACCCAGTTGAGTTCCGTGGAAATTGAAATTGATGATGAAGTTCGAGCTTTAATTCTCTTATAATCTCTACCAGACAGTTGGAATGCTACTGTTACAGTAGTAAGCAGTTCGTAGGGAAATAAAAAAAATTTGACGATGTTCGAGATCTGGTATCGAGTGAAGAAATTCGACGAAAAGATCGGGTGAAGCATCAAACTCCTCAGCCTTGCACACGGAGTCTAGAGAAGTTCAGAAAGAAAACTAAATCGTGGCAGATCAAAATTTAGAATGAGAAAATCAAGAACGGGAAAGAAAGATTTTAACTGTTATAATTGCGTATTAAAGGGTAAATTTAAAAGACATTGCCGAGCACCGAAGAAATATATCAGTCATAGAAATCTGCCAACGTGACAGAGGAAACAAGTGATATCATGATTCTAAGAGTCAACAGTCCGATTGAATCACGGATCTTGGATTCAGGGGCATCTTTCCACGCCACCTCATGCCAAGAATCATAGAGAACTATGTCAGTTGTGATTTTGGGAAGGTTAATCTGCTGATGATGAAACCTTGAAGATCGTCGGAAAAGGAGACCGATTAATGTTACCAAACCAGACCACTGGAAGCTAAAAGGAGTGAGACATATTCCTGACCTCAAAAAATTTAATTTTTTAGGACAGCTTGATGGAGAATGATATTGTACAACCTTTTCAGGCTGTGAATGAAATATTACCAAAGGAGCACTTGTCATTGCTCGTGATAAGAAGACTGATACTCTCTATATAACCTCAAACTTGGAGAATATCATTGCAGTAGCAGATGCTGATGGAAAATCAAACCTATGACACCAAAGGTTTGGCCATATGAGCGAGAAAGGGATGAAGACATTTTTGTCAAAAGGGAAACTACCGGATCTAAAGAGTATAGATGTCGGACTATGTGAGGATTGTATCTTTGTCAAACAAAAGAAAGTCAGTTTTGCAAAGATTGGTAAGACACCCAAGGCTAAAAAGTTAAAGTTGGTTCATACTGATGTATGGGGACCATCTTTAGTTTATCTCTTGCAGGCTCACTATATTATGTTACCTTCATCGATAATTCTACAAGGAAGTATGAGTTTATTTTCTGAAGAAAAATCAGAAGTCTTTGATACCTTCAAAAAATGGAAGGCAATGGTGAAAATGATAATGGGTTTGAAAGTCAAGCGGTTAAGGTCTGATAATGGAGGAGAATACAGAAATAGTAGATTCAGAGAATTTTGTGCAAACAATGGATCAAGATGGAGACAATAATTCCCATGACACCGCAGCAGAATGGCGTAGCAGAGCGCATGAATAGAACTCTGAATGAACGTGCCAGAAGCATGAGGATACATGCCGGCTTGCCCAAATTGATATGGGCTGAAGCTATCAACACTGTAACTTACCTGATCAACCATGGGCCATCAGTTCCCTTGGATGGTGGAATACCAGATGAAGTTTGGAGCAAAAAAGAAATAAACCTTTCACACTTAAGAGTGTTTGGTTGTATTTCTTATGTACACATAAATTCTGCTGAAAGAAGTAAACTTGATGCTAAGTCTAACAAATGTGTCTTTGTTGGTTATGGTGGTGATGAGTTTGGTTACCGTTTTTGGGACTATGAAATCGAAAGATCATTAGAAGCAGAGATGTCATTTTCAATGAGAATGTGATGTACAAAGACATGTTAACCATAAAATCAAGTAGCTCCAATAGCGAAGCTAAAATAAAGAATTTGTTGAGTTTGAGGAGATTTCTGGAAATGATGTTCAGATCAGTCCTGAAGCAGTTTAAGAAGAACCAGACACCAAAACTGAGACTTTCCTCCAGAATTCCTAAACCAACCCAACGTTATTCGCCTTCTTTGCACTACTTATTGCTGACCGACAATGGGTGAACCAGAGTGCTATGATAAAGCAATGCAGGTGGAGGATTCAGTCAAGTGAGAGTCTTCCATGAAAGATGATGGACTCGCTTATGTCAAATCAGACATGAGAATTAGTTGAATTACCACCAAGCAAAAAGCTCCTTAACAAGTGGTTTACAGGATCAAAGAAGAGCACGATGGGAGCAAACACTACAAAGCAAGATTGATTGTCAAAGGTTTTCACCAAAAAGAAAGTATTGACTATAATGAAATTTTCTCTCCAGTCGTGAAGTTATTTACAATCAGACTGGTGTTGAAAATTGTAGCTGCAAAGAATCTACATCTTGAGAAGTTAGATGTAAAGACATCTTTCCTTCATGGTGATTTGGAGGAAGAAATCTATATGAGGTAGCCAGAAGGCTTCATAGAGACAGCAAGAAAAACCTGGTATGTAGGTTGAAGAAAGCTTGTATGGTTTAAAACAAGCTCCTAGACAGTGGTACAAGAAGTTTGATAGCTTTATAGGTAGTAGTGGTTTTACCAATGCCAAGCAAATCATTGTTTACATCAAAAAGTCGACAACAACTTCATTATTTTATTGTTGTACGTTGACATGCTCGTTGCAGGCTCAGACATGCAAGAGATTATAAACTTGAAGCAAAAATTGTCGAAGCAGTTTTGCAATGAAAGATCTGGGCACTACAAAGCAGATTCTTGGGATGAGGATTAAGAGAGACATAAAGTCGAGGACTTTGATGTTATCACAGGCTGAGTACATCAACAAAGTACTCTTCAGATTCAACATGCAAGAGCTAAACCAGTAAGTACACCTTTAGGTGTTCATTTTCCAAAGAACAATCACCAAAGATGGAGGAAGAACGTGCACACATGGTAAAGGTGTCGTATGCCTCAGTAATTGGAAGTCTGATGTATGACATGGTTTGTACTAGACCAGATATTGCTCAAGCAATGGGAGCTATTAGCAAGTACATGAATAATCCGAGCAAGGTACACTGAAAGCAGTCAAATAGATCAGATATCTACGGGATACCACAAACAAAGCACTTTATTTCAAAGGTGGAGATACGATACTGACAGGCTATGTAGATGCTGACTTAGCTGGAAATGTTGATATCAGAAGAATCACTACAAGGTATGTCCATACTCTAGGAGGTACCGCAGTAAGTTGGGTTTCTCAACTATAGAAGATAGTTGCTCTCTCTACAATTGAAGCAGAATATGTCGCTGTTACGGAACCCATCAATGAGATGATTTGGCTCCAAAGTTTCTTGGAAGAGTTAAGTAAGAAACAAAAAACAATGTCTTGTATTGTGACTGTCAAAGTGTTATCCATCGAGCAAAGAATACGTATTTTCATTCCAGGACGAAGCACATACAATTGCGATATCATTTTATTCGTTGTCCTCTGGAAGATGAGATTTTGAAACATGAAAAGATTAGTGGAGCTTAAAATCCGACAGACATGTTAACAAAGACGGTGACTACGAACAAACTGAAGTTGTGTTCAACTTCAGTTGGCATGCTAGAGTAACAAGACCAGAAATGTTGCATTGATCGAGGTGTGAAGACAGATTAAAATCAGTCTTCAAGTGAGAGATTGTTGAAAAGTTAAGTGGCAAGTGGCCAACTAGGCCAAACTTTCGGTGAATAAGTTGGCAGCTGAAATGGTGGAAAATTGGCAAGGGAAAATTACCAAATTTAGTCTTGTACTTTAGGGTATTTGCAAGATTAGTCCTTAAGCTTCAACTATAAATACTCTAACTCATTTAGCTTCAAAACCATCCCAAATCATTCTAGCTCTCTCCCAAAACT